TCTGAAGTCCTCCTCATGAGCATGCGCACCTCCTGGCACCAAAAGGCCTTCTCCTCAGACATAAGCACTGGCTTCCACCTGCAGACATGCAGCCTGGGCTTCCAATTCCAGCTCCTCCACGTCCTGGCTGGAGAACAGGGTGGGCTACTTGACCTCAGCAGCCGTGGTGTGATTGGGACCCCCGTGGGCAGAAAGGGGGAACCATATGCCAGGCACCCTCAGTGTTCTATGTACGTGGTGTTAGGCTGTGCAGTCCCTTCAGGGCGGCTTTTACTCCCTGCCAGGCAGTGAGGTCTGTAACTCCCAGCTCATGGACAAACCTGTACACTCTGTGGTTGGCAGAGTTCCTTACTACAAGCATGCAATGTCCAGAGGTGCAGCAGTGATTCTGTGACATGAGGACAGCACTCACATACCGCTCCCTATGTTCAGCAGTGAGGAAGTGCAGAAAGACACTGAGTCCCTGAGCCACAGGATCCAGCCCCAGCTCTAAACCCCTGCTTAGCTACTGGCCCTGTACACTCCCAGATGAGGCAAGCTGCATCCATACCCACTCCCCCGTGCCAGGAAAACAAGCTTCCAGGGGCCGGGCACCAAGCAGTGCAAACTCTCCAGGTAAATTCAGGGACAAAGGCAATGCAAATACCTGGTGTGGCCAAATAGGACTAAAGCCCCATCCTGCAGCCTGATTGTACCCCACTCACACTGGGCACCTTAGGTGCACTGAGGCTGGTGGGCTCTGCCTGCACATCCAGCCTCTTTAGGTAAAGCACCCACCACAGGGCATGAGACTGGGCAGTGGGGACCTTTCCCGGGCACCAGAACTCCTTCACTTGTCCACCTCCCACAGGGAAGGGGGCTGAGGCCCCCAGGCTGTGCCCCTGCCTTGCTAGGCAGCTACTAAGGGGTAGAGTCCTCCTGCGGGCCACACTCACTGGGCAGGACCCCGTCCACACATGAGTACCCCCTTCTCCCCCATCCTGGGCATCTGCCCTCTCCAGTGTGACCCAACACATGCCAAGCGAGTGTGGGGGAGGAGGCAGAAAGATGAGATAGTGCAGATAAATCGTATTTTAATGAAATACTTTGAAATCAAGATTAATGATAAGTATCAAAAATCCCGATCAAGTAGGACCAGACTCCCTGCCTGGCAGTGACCTGGCACCAGCCCCTGAGACTGCTGGCTCCTGCCCAGGGAGGGCCATGGGGCCAGAGACCAGCAGCAGGCCAGAAGTCCCGGAGCTGGATTTCACAAGAAGTCCTTTCTCCTCCCTCTGGCCTCCCCACCCTTGCCTGCTACAAAGGAAGCCCTTGGCCCTGGCCTCCAGACCCTCGTAAAACTGAGAGAAGTGGGACGGGGGGGGGGGGGGTGGCTGCAAGCCTACCCCTCTCAGCTCACTCAGCCCCCTGGGTAGCTCCCAGGGGAGGGGAGAGTGCATGGAAAATTCCAGCCCTGGCAGAGGCTCCCTGTGTGGGCCTTGCTCAGGCCTGGGAGGCAGCCCCATCCATGCCCTGTCAAAGACAGAAACCTCTGCCTCCAGGCCTTACCCCAAACCTGGTTTCCGGACACAGCTCCTCACAGATGGCCATGCTGGGCCACACCCCAACCCAGTCACAGCCTAAGAAGCTCTGCAGACATTAGATTGGTGGGCATGCCCCCACCCTGCCTCAGTGTGCCCCTCCAGATCCCTGACCAGCCAGCACGCCCTGAAAGACCCTGTGGAAAAATGTCTTCCATGGAGCCCAGGCAGATGAGCCACCAGGGAAACCACCTCAGAGGCTCAGAGGTTTCAGGGTACGTCACCAAGCAGCCAGGAATGCTTAGGGCCCAGCCCAGTGTGAATGGGCATGGCACACAGCACAGGAAGATAAAATGAGTGATGAGGACAAGGCAAGGCGTAAGGAGAGGAGGCAGGAGAGGGGTGGGCAGAGAGGGGCTACTGCGAGGTGCAGGAAGCTTTGACCAGGGGACGAAGGAGAAGAGAGGGAAACAGTGCCCCCCTCCACCCTAGAGGGACTCCCCCCCTCCCAATACCCACAGGGTGAGCACACCTAGGGGAAGGGCTTGTGCAGAAGGCACGTGCTCCCAACCTGCCTGGCAGCATGCCTCTAGAACATGAACAGGTGAGCCTCACGGCTTCTTGTGACCGGAAGGGAGCCAGGGAAGGAGGAGATAAAGGGAGGAGCCAGCCCCCAAGCCCCAAGGGCAGGGACTGGGGGCTACAAACCTGAGCTGGCTGCGGACCTTCACTGGGGACTGAGCACAAGGGTTAGAGAGAAACAGGTGGGATGGCAGGGGAAGCAGCAAGCTTGAGAACCCAGGTTGCTGAGCAGAAACACGTTGTTGTTAGCTTCTGGCAAAACACAGGGAGTTGGGCTGCAGGGTGGGGAGCAGCACGGGGGACACAAGCTCCCACCCCACCCTTGGACTGTGTCTCCCAGCAGACAGGCTGCATGAAATGTAAGGCATCTGGCAGGTGCCTGAGCCTCCCTTGGTTTCTGTGCACATCTCACCCTGGACCAGGCCCTGCACCCCAGCCAGGCTCCTGGCACTGCCCAGCCTGCTCAGCACAGAGCCAGAAGCACCAGAGGTTACCCCATTTTGCCAGGGAGCCCCAACTTCCAGTGGGGTAGAATATGCACCCAAGTTCTTCCTGGGGGATCTGGCTGAGCCTGATGTCACATCCTTCCTCTCTCCTCTTCCTCCCCACTCCTTGACAGTGCCACAGTCCTCATCGTGGCATGAGCTTGGGACACCTCCATGTAGCTCCAGGAACCTCATTCTCAAAAGCGCACAAATGAAGGGCACTGTATCCCCATGGCAGTGTGGAACAGAGGACCAAGGGGTTTGAAAGAGTGTCTGGAGACTGTCATATGGCCTGAGGCCGTGGCCACACTGCAGAGTAAGAGCTAAACCCTTCCAGGGAGTATAGAAGTGGCATTTGTTCAGTGCTAACTCTGATCGTTCAGGATTCTGAAGGAGGCACTGCTGGCAACCCCATTGTACAGATGGGCAAGTTGAGGCTCCCAAGGTTCAAACTCCAACCTCAGACCGCTAGACTGCAAGGGCCCACTCCCAAGTTCAAAGCACAAAGACCTGCATGGGAAGATACCCCCAGAAATCCCTCACGGAGTAAGAAGCCAGCACACTGAGGGAGTTCTCAGTGCACCTGACCCACGGGTGATGTCACAGCCTGCTCTGCTTCCCCACCAGCCCTGGCTCAGCCCTGGTACAGTGACCTCAAGGCAGCAGTAACACCCATTCTAGCTGGCATGAGCTACTCGCCTATTGTGGTACAGCAAGAAGTCCCCCGATCCTTGCCAAGGCAGGGAGCCCTAGAACTCCCAGAGTTTATGCTCAAGACAAAACAAAAATCAGAACAAGCCAGGACCAACGCCCCTTCCCTCCTGGGGCCTGGCAAGGCTCTGCTTGTGTTTACTTTGAATTCAAAATTAGACATAGGCAATTCAATCCAGGGCCTCCCAGAGTGGGGCTGGGAGGGACCCAGAAGTCTGGCCAGGCAGCTGGAGGTTGGCAAATGAAGCCAGTAGCCAGCGGTGCCCTCTGACAGGCGTCAGGCCTGGTGGAGGGGAGGGACATCCTGGGGAGGAGGGGAGAAGGGAGAGGAATGGGGGTTCCTGTCAGATTCAGAAATAAAGCTGCCCTCTCTCCAGGCAGTTCAAACTGTGAGATCAGCACCACCCTGCAAACAGGCAGTTTGTCCCGTCCTGCACTGGGTCTTGCCTGGCCTGTCGCCCCAGGTGACAATGACGCATGGGCCAACCAAAGCATCAGAACTTGCAGAAAGTGACAGAGCAGAAAGTCTCTTGCCAGAGTGGGTTTCTGCTGGCAGCCACACCTTGCAGCCTCTCCCCTGCCCTGCCCTGTCTGCCTGCCCTCCCTTGTCCTAGGGAGGGGCCTCACCCTGTGCTTGCTCAAGCTCAGCCTCCTGGAATTCCTGCTTCCAGGGAGAGAGGAAGGGAGAGGGAGAAAGCCCCCAGCCTTAGACACCAGCCTATGGCTGCACCAATCATTCCTGCATCTGCGAAGACCAGAGGCTAAGGAGGGAAGCAGCTTGGGTCAAGTCCTGAATAGGACCAGGTGGCAGGCCCTGACTCCACCCTGGTCGGTTCCGCTTGGGATCCTACACACTGGGTCCTGGCACACTCCCATGTTTCACAGGCTCTGAAAAGTCTTTGGGACATTAAGTGAAGGTGTGCCAAGCCGCTGTTGCCTCCATTGTGCCCATCAAGTCCCCTGGTCCCACTGTCAGGTCACATAGATGACCCACCAGATCTGCAGGTGGCCCTGCCAATTCCCCCAAGGCCGGAGTCCCTAGGCTGCCATTGCCTCCTTCTCTGGTCTCAGCTTCCTCTGTCACTGGGAGTAACTCCAAAAAGAACAAGGTAAAATGGTGCAATTTCAGGCACTGTAATGCACGAACTAGTAAGTGGGCCCCGCCCTCCTGATACGTACAAGCTCCACCTCCTCTCCCACCCTGTCCCACAGAATCTAGCTCCACAGTCTTCCTGTGGCAGGTGCTGCAGAAAAATGCTCTGGCTCAGTGAGATGTGGCCTTAGAGCCCAGCCCCATTGACTTCAGTGGTCCATGCTGGCTGGCAGCTGCCAGGGCCTGGTCGGATGCCAGTCGTGCTGTCTTTGCTGAGGCAAGATGCTGAGCATCAGAGTCTGTGGCACATGGAAGGCCTTCACCAACGTCCACTGCCTTCCCCAAAGACCAGGGAGGTCCCCACCCTGCCAATTCCTTATTCAGGCTGCAGCACAGGGCGGCCGCTGCTATGTGTGCTGAAGTGGGGAAAAAGCAGCCTGAACAGAAGGCAAAGCATTTTATATTTTCCAGGAACTTTGGGGTCTCCCTGCCCCAGCCTTTGGAGCCTGGGATGTGCAGAGATGTGGCTCTTGGGAAATCCAGCCCTTAACCCAGCCTAGCCAAGGTCCTGCACACATTCGGGTGAGAAGCGTGGGTCCAGGCCAGCTCTCACTCAGGGGCTGCACCCGAGCAGCCGCAGCAGCTGGGGCGCCGCAGGGACTGCATGACGGCCCGCAGCGGCCCCCTGCGGCCTTCAGCAGACAGGCTGTCCTCGCTGGCAGGTGCCCGCTGCAGCTGTTCAAACTGCATCTCTAGGTGCCTCTGGATGGCCACGCCCAGCACCTCGGGGTCCACTGCGGCACCATACACTTCCCATGTCATGCCCTCGGCATCCCACCGCACATCCCGCACTGGGGATGGTGCCTCCTCCAGGCTGCTGGATCCCACAGTTACCTCTGGGAACATGTGCAGGGCCCCTGGGGCCTCCAGGGATGGGCTTGTGGCCACAGCCTTGCAGGCTGCCACAGGAGCCACCTGCACCCCAGCATCCTGGGCTGGCAGTGGAGGTGGTGGTGGTGGCAGGGACATTGGTGCAGGAGCCAGGTCGCTGGTGGAGGTCATGGTCCACACATCTTTGGTCCTGGAGCCAGGCTCTGTGGTTAAACCAGGGGTGCCCCAAGGGTGGGCACAGCAGGGGAGCCCCGCAGGCAGCCGGCAGTGGAATCTCACTCCGTGATGCTGAACCTGCAGGCCCGATTCACTCACAGATGCTACCAGCTTGGGGAAGGCCAGGAGCCCTGTGGCAGGCAGGGCATGGCAGCAGCTCCCAACCCCAGCCTCTCTCACGCTGCAGAGGAGAGCTGCTGGAGGCAGGGCGTGGCAAGAGGAGGCAGCGACCGGCTGTCCAGTGACTTTGGGCTCAGCCTGGTCACTACTGCAGGGGTTGGCTTTGTCCCCCAGGTCTAGAGGCAGCACCTGTGCCTGGCTCTCCCCCAGCACCCCAATTGAGTTAGAAATCCCAACCTCATCAGCCAGGTTCCTCTCCAGGCTTAGGGGGACCTCGCCACCTGAGCCAGGAGCAACATTAGACGGCAGCTGAGCAGCGTGGACGGGTGAGCTACCAAGCGCTGAGCAGCTGAGGCTGGCTGTCCGGGCAGTGCCACCGTGTCCCCGGGCCTGGATGCTGCGGACCAGGTCTGAGTGGCTCCTCTGTATTGCAGCGGCACTGGGAGTACGAAGTCGGACAAGGTCCCCGCTGCCCATGGTGGACACGTTGCCCACAGTGCTGCTTCGCCAGTGGCCCCTGCCACTGGATGGTGGCCGGGGGCTGGAGGATTGTGTCTGCTCCATGCTCTCTGCCTGGCAGGCCTCTTCCTCTGGAGTCTGGCTACTGGCGCCAGCCTTGCCCGACTGCCCACGCCACACGGTACTGCTGGCACTCTTGCGGAGCTCCGGCCTCTGCCCCTGGCCCTCACCCAGCAGGCTGGATGAGCTCCGGGACAGCGGCTGTGGGCGGGGCATCTGGGGTGCCTGGGCACCAGGGTCAGGCGGGCTGGAGCTCATGGCTGCCTGCAGGAGAGAGAAAGCAAAGGAGTGAAATCGAGTTGGGTGCCAGCACCTTGGGGTCAAATCCATACCTAGCTGTCTGGTCAGAGCTGCAAGTCAGGCAGCAGCAGGACGCCAAACCACTTCAGATCAAGGTCATGACAGGGCACACACAGGGACACCCAGGCAAAGCCCTAACAACCAGAGCTTGGCTACAGTGGGAGGGGCCTGAAGACTGCCCACATGCCAGCTGTAGGCTCTGGAAGGGAGAGGGAACCAGAAGCAGAGGCCCTGGAGGTGGGGCCACTGCACTAGGGAGCTGTCCTCTTAAGCCTGGTGCTGGGGACCAGTGCCATGGCACTGCAAGTAAAGCCACCGCCTGTGATGTGCCATCCCATGTGGATGCTGGTTTGCTGGCTGCTCCACTTCCAATACGGCTCCCTACAAATGCACCTGGGAAAGCAGCAGAGGATGACCCAAGTGCTTGGGCCTCTGCACCCATTTAGGAGACCCTGAAGAAGCTCCTGGCTTCAGACTGGCCCAATCCTGGCTATTGCAGCCATCTGGGGAATGAACAAGTAGATGAAAGCTCTCTTTCTCTCTCTGGAATCCTCTCAAATAAATGAGTGCTGAACTGGCAGAGTGGGAGCTCACAGCAGTTCTGGGACAAGAGAGTCAGGACCAAGAGCATGCACTGAGCATGTGCCGGGGTCTCCCTTGCTGTCTCCCCACCCTCTCTGACCCATGCTGCCCAAGCTGTCCTGTCCCTGGAGCTCCCCCTTGCCAGCTCCAGCAAGGGGTTCCCACCTGCACCTCTGATATATGCAACTCACTCAGCATCTATCCACTCATTCATCCAGTTGCTGTACAGCTATCCCAGGTTCTGCAGCTGGGGAACACGGAACCCACTCAGGACTGGCTGTTCCACAGCAGATTCCCATCTAGTACAGGCACAGCCATGCAAGCAGCCCGTTCCCCTCCCCAGAAGCAGTGCCCTGGGTGTACAAGGGGAGCTGTGCTTGGGAGGGGGTCTGGGTCAGCCAAGCCATGGCCAGGCTGTGAATAAAGATGACGTCAGCCCACCCACCACATGCCCCTGCTGCAGGAGTGGCAAGTGACAGTTACAGTTGGGCCAATCCTGGCTCCATCCACCCTGGACTGATAAGGGCTGGGGTGCAGGCAAGCACCTTGACCAGGGGAGCAAGGCCACCTGCGAGGGGATGGGTTTCTGTGTCCTAGGGCACAGAGACAGACAGTGGTCTCTGGAGCCAGCAGTGAGGGGAGTTCTGAAGCCATAGTGTGCCAGAAGTCCAGGTCCACACAGTTTCCTGGCTCCACCCTGTGCTGAACAACAGACAGCCACAGGTCCCCAGTGGTCTCTGAGCACATAACAAGTGGCTTCCGCAACAAGGACAGAATCTGAAGCATTCCATTAAGCTGCTTCAATGTAACCAGCCCTACAAGGCTAGTTAGGCAGTTCACACTGCCCCCAAGCAGTATGAACACAGTGCTAGGCCACCTAGGAGTATCCCATCCCAGCTGTTCCCTGAAGGGACAGGAAAAGGATGAGTGACCAAGAGATGACTTCAACCTGTATGCTGCCCCCGAGGAGCCCTAAGAAAGAGAGAGAGAGAGAGAGAGAGAGAGAGAGAGAGAGAGAGAAAGGCAGCCAATCCCAACCACCATGACCCTAATAGTAGAGTAACTCCAAGCCCCATCATGTGATACGTGCCAGACCCAGGCCTCAGCCTTCACACAGATGTCTCACTGAAGCAGCAAAGCAAACTCCCCATCCTACAGGCGGGAGGACCAGAGCTCAGAGAAATTCAGTGACTTGCCTAAGAACACACACCCGAAGGGAGAAATTCAACCAGGAACCATGTGCTATATGTGTGTGGGGAGGGGACATCCCTAGTCACCTGTGCACCTTGCAGACCCTTCCTGGCACCTGTCACCCTCACCCACACAGCGAGAGTCTGACACTTGCCTTGGTGCTCACAACATGCCATTGTAACAAGCCAAGCAGTAGAGGCCACTTCCCACCCACCTTTACCCTGACTCAATTTGTAGCTGCTTCTTGGGCTGCCCAGGAAGCTCATTAACAGCCCAGGAAGGTTGGGGCCACCCAGAACCGGGTCCATGAACTCCAAGGAGGCCCCACAGCCTCAAACTGAATCCTTCTGAAGAGTGGGGCCACAGGAAGCTAGGCCAGTCTCCATCCTCCACCACCAAAGGACACAGGTAGGACACGACCTAGTGACAAGCCATCAGGGCTGAGGTCCTGCTGTGCTTATCCCACCCAGAGCTGGGGACCCTTAGAATGACCAGCACCCACAAAAAGTCCAGGGGGCAACTCCATATCTGTCTACTCCCTTCCCCACCCCCTCCACAAGGGGCAGGGGATAAAGCGGAGGCTTAGAGTAGTTCAGAAATGGCTGAAGGTGGCTGATTCAGAACCACAGCAGGGCGATCTCCTGGGCGACCTGGCCTTCCAGCCCAGGAGTGTAGGGGGGCAGGCAAGAGCTTTGAGAGAGGCCAGGCTGTCCTGAGAGCAAAGAGGTTTCCCACAATCACTGCCACCAACACACTTTGGAATAACCCAGAAGAGCAAAGGGCAGGGCCACACAGAGGTGTCCTTGGGTAGACGCCTAACTTCTTGAAGTCTGTTTCCCTAATCTGCAAAATGCACGTCAATCCCCACCCTGCAGGGTGACTTCCAAGACTAAACAGGATGGCCCGTGGATGTTCACAATCATTCTTTCAGGAACCAGTGCTGTGGCACAGCTTGTTAAGCTGCTGTCTACACTGTCAGCATCCATAGCACGGTGCTGCTTCAAGTTCCAGCTACTGCACTTCCCATCCTGCTTTTTGCTAGTGCTCCTGGGAAACAGCCAAAGATGGCCCAAGTCCTTGAGCTCCAGCCACCCATGTGGGAGACCCAGACGAACTTTTGGGCACCTAGCTTTGGCTTGGCCCAGCCCTGGCCAGTGTGGACATTTCAGGGGGCGAATCAGCAGGTGGAAAATCTTTGTCTCTCTCTCTTGGTCATTCTGCCTTTCAATTCAACAAATCTTTTGGGGGAAAAGGAGGGAGGGAGTGTGGGAGGGAACGATGGACTCGCATCCTCTGGCCACAGCTGGAGCAGCAGGTAGCATATCAACCAGCCTTGCATGTTCCAACCAACCAACCAACGTCATTTTGAGTAGAAGCCTCACCCAGCCAAAGCCAGTGCAGGGCCAGCAAACCCAGAGGTGCAAGCCCTGCCAGTTTCCCACCCAGAGGAACCCAGGCCCTAGGGACACTTGCAAGGGCCTCCATGGGTCACCACAGGTGGGGACCCTCTCAGCTCACACTGTGGCATCCTGGCAGGTTGCCTGCTGTTAAACAGCAGGTCTTTGTATGATCACTTCAGGGTCCAAGAAAAGTCCTCGGAGCTGGCCAGGCAGGGATGCTGACCCAGGGTTAAAATGCAGAAAGCTGGTAAGGTGACACACTCCTCAAACCCCTCATCCCACAGTGGGAGCATGGTTACCTCTAGCAGGTGACATGTCACAGCAAGGGCAGGACAAAGGTGGCAGAACCTGTCCCCTGGACAGCAAGCCCTGTCCAGCACACAGATGGATGAAGGTGCCTTAGGGACAACACCCCCACCCCCTCCACAACAGCTGTGATAAGAGGTGTGGGGGGAGGGCAGCGATACCCAGGATGCGACCCGGGCCGCCAACAGCTTCCTCCCTGGGCAGATCCAATCACGCAGGAGCAGGGAGGGGAGGGAAGCCTCACGGGCTAGCGGCCCCAGCCTAGAAGGTGCGCGCCCCTGTCTGCAAGCACACCCATGCCCACCACAGAGCCCCAAAGGCCCAGGGCCGCGGGCAAGCCTGCGGGAAATCGGAGTGTGTTCCCCCACGGCAAGGCCAGGCCAAGGCCCCAGCACAGACCGGCGCTGCCTCACCCAGCTACGGCGCCCTCCCCGCCCTTCCCACACCCCAAGCCCACCCGGCTGTTAGGGAGGGGGGACCACAGGAGGCCCGTAAAGTCGCCCCCTCCACCAGGGCCCTTCCGACACAGAGCGGCAGCAGCCGGTGAAGGGCGCTAGGGCTGGGGGCTATAGGGTGGGATCCTGGGCCGGGCTGGGAGGTGGGGAGCTGCCAGTGGGGGATGGGGTGGGAACCAGGGGCTGGGAATTGGGGACGCCAGCCAGACGGTCACCAGACAGCTGAAGGGAGTTTGGGCAAAGGAAACCGTGGTGCCAGGCAGAGGCGTTGGGATGAGGGCGATGGAGCGCGATGCGACGAGGGTCGTGGCCTTGGGCGGGCGGGGCACAGGCGTGGGCCGGGAAGCCGAGGGGACCCAGCGCAGGCAGGTGCAAGGGGTAGGTCCGGAGGGCAGGAAGGAGAAGGCCGCCGCTGCCGCCCCCCACCCCCTATCCCCGTCCCCCTTGGGCACTCCCGGGGCCGGCCGCTCACCCTTTCGCCCGCCCAGGGCCGCGCAGGCCGGAAGAAACGCTGCTCCTGCGGCCGCTACAGGTGCCCAGCGCCGCGGCCCAAGATGGAGCCGCGGGGCCGAAGCCGGCCTGGGCCCGAGACGCCCGTGGAGCCCGGCGCCAGGAAAGGGGCGGCGGCAGAAGGGGCGGGGGAGGCGGCAGGCGCGGGCTGGGGAGGGCGCCCGGGGTGGCGACCCCGCTCACCTGCGCCCGCCTGGCGCGCCCCGCCGCCCGCCCCGCGTCCCCGCCCCGCCTTCCCAGTCGGACTGGGTTGCTGCCCCTTCCCCACCCAGCGGCCCCTTTTCCGGCCCAGCCGCCACCTGCTTCCCAGACTACTCACCTTCCCAACCTGACCCCTCGAGCTGCTCTCACAAGGCCAGGTTCCCCTGCAAACCTCAGCCCCCAACACCGCAACCCGGGGTCTACTTCCTCCTAGCCCCGCCCCCAGGTCGGCTACCCAGGGGGTGACCCTCTTTTTTGTGGCCCCGCCCCTCCCGTTCCTCGGGCTCCGCCCCGCCCCCCGCCCTCCAGACCC